CCCCCGCCCCATTTCCTCTTTCCTTTTGAACAATTTCTTCCCATTTCACAGTATCTGTTACACATTTTGGTCCTTATTTACTCTTTCAGTGTCTTACTTCAGGGAGAAAATGTGATGTTTATACACCTGAGTCTGATTTATTTCACTTACGAGTATGGTCTCACGTTGCATCCATTTATCTATAAATGTCTCAAATTTCTCTCTATGGCTGAAAATTTTTATTTTTATTAGTATATGCTTGTAGTACATTACTACATTCATCATGGGGAGTTGGTATAGGTATGTAATAATATGAAGAAAAGCCATTCTTATGACGTAGGATATAAAATCGACATTATATACTGAAGCAACACTTCAAACCATCACAACTCTGTGTCACGTATCATTTGTACCCGCAGTGTGCCCTCTTCAGCTGGAAAAGGGCATCCCATGTCAGCAAGGACCCTAGCAGTAGCTGGCAGAATAGGTTGTGGGCACTATTAGATCCACGTGGCATCTAGATTCACATGTGATGTGTTCATCAGTCATGGAACCAGCTGACCAGTGCATTAAAAAAGCATATGTAACCAGCCAAGCATAACCGTTGCAGTCGGTGATTCCTGGAGTTTAGGGAACATGGGGTACACGGTGGAGCAGGGACCTTAATGGTGCTAACCAGCCTTTGTGAAGAGCATATATTGTTTAAAGTATGCAGGGCAAAAAACTGCAATCATTAATCAGCAGCTTTAAAACATGAAAAAACAAATATTTGAAATACGTATTTCATAATATAGGAAATACATACATTTGTCAAAAATGCAGGACTGTGGATTTTTTGAGCTTTACACATTTGGGGGCTTAAAATTCAATGTTTTAAGCTTCTCTGTCATGTGTGAGTCAGGAGCAAAAATAAGGCTGAGGTCCCAGCTAGGCTGAGTGGTATCGTCAGCAGGTCCATCACTTCCCTAAGCTCCAGTTCTCATCTGTAAGTGAAGTCTACCCAGCCCTGGTCCACCCCAGTGCTTGGTGAGTAGCCACCACACCCTAGTCCTGCTTGGACAGCATTCAGAGGGACAGAAAACTTCCCTACACAGTGTGCCAGAAGGCCTGAGGTAGTAACACTCCAACCATGGTGCTGTCTCCATTTTTCTCACTGTTCTGTTAATACTACCTTCTCAACAAGTAGAAGAGTAGGTTATAAGTACATTGAGCCAGTAATAAATATTCCTAAATCAGACAGTAAAACTAGTGCAAATCTAACTTCATCCACTTGTTATGATTCTGCCTTCTTTGACTTTTAAAGATAAAGCCCTAATATTAGGAGGCTCAAATCAATTCCTAATTTGGGGTGTTTTTCAAGTATGAAAAACAAAATAGGAATCAACACAAGAAGCAGCAGCTATAGAATTAGGCAGCTTTCTGAAGCATAATTTTTAAAGGTTTGGGGGACAGTGGCTTTTATGGTTTGAGGTCTTAGATGTCTCCCCCTCCAAGGCCTCATGTGGTCAGGCTTTTTCAGAATGGCTGGAACTAGAGTGTGTGATGCTGGGATTAAGGGTGTGTGATTACTAAATCAGTCTCCTGATTGGTTTGGCACTGTCTCAGTCCAGGCAGCCTAGATACAATGTAAAAGGGGCAGAAAGATGTTGTTAAGGCCCCCTTGTTGCTTTGCTACATTCTGCCTGCCATGAACTGTTCTTCTCTACCAAGCCACCCTGCCGTGGAGCCAGCCAATTATGGACTGAAACCTCTATGACTGTATGCTAAATAAACCTTTCCTCCCTTACCTTTGGGCATGGAATATTTCATCTCAGCAAGGAGAAGAGTAACTATGACGATGGCCCATCGTCCTGAGCAGTCTGCCTTGCTGCTGCTCCCCAGCACAGGTCACCGGGCTCTCACGCTGCTGCTTTGGGAACACCATCGGGCACGTCACCGGCCCACCGCTCCTAAAGTGGCCAGTTCTGGTGTAAGGTTTCAGAGTTTGAGGTTAAACCAAAAGAAGCTGCAGTTTGTATTTTCACAATCACTCACTCATTCATCACTATATTATTTGTGTAGCAAGAAAATAAATTATCCTGTAAGCACTGCACCTAAGCAGAAAATGCCTTTCAAGACAGGTATGTTCAAATAAGGTGTTCCAAGAATTCCACAAAGAACATCTTGGAATAAGCCTGTGCTCCGAAAGAGTCCATATTTTAACTAAACACAGTTTAAACTGTACTCTGTGGTACTTGTGTGGATTAGTTACAATTATGAGATTACTACTTCAAAAAAAAAACGGTTAAAACTACTATTGAAAACTTTTGTCATGAGCAGAAATGCCCTGCAAGTTACATTATGGCACACAGAATTATCAGAAGCTATGCATATAAAATTTTAAAGACTCTCACAGAGACCCCAGGGCTATGCGTGTGGCTGCTCTGGCCAGCGTGCCTAAGACCAGGTTGCTGTCGTCGTCTCGGACCACTCATGAGTGGTGTCTTGGTTGGCAGGATGCTGTCCAATGAGAGCCTCGCGTATGGGTGTTGGTAAGGCACCAGATGTGCCTGCCCATTGGCAGGATAGCCAGGTAGACAACCCGGCTTCCTGCTGGGTAGGGGCCAACACTGTATGGGCTGTAGCCACCTATGTGCCTGATCAGGGGTTGGTGCAGCATAGGCCTTGAAAGGAGGGGGCCAGGAAGCCATGGCTGTCTGATTAGGCAAGACCACACAGTCAGTAGACCATAATTGTTCTGGAGTCCTGCACTGTAAATTTCCAAGCTAAAAAGACATCTATGTGTTGTGCACAAATACCTATCATCTTCCCGTCTTGGCAAACATTCTGAAGCAGACAGTCTTTCGGCTTCCGGTCTGGAGGCTCAATATCCCAACACTCATGTGCTGTGTGGATACTGGATTGAGTCCCCTGGCATATGGACTTTATCCTTGATACTCTGCTCAGTCTGATCATTTAATAGATTGAGTGGCCATCTGACCACAGGTCAAACCAATTCTCCAGTGCTTCGAAACAGGACGCTGTTGCAGCAGCCATCCACTGTTTGCAAACACCATCTCTTTGTGAACTGTCCAGCTGCCAGGAAGAAGCTGGGTGGTGAGGGAGGTAAGAAGGCCCCAAATGGTGCAAGTCCGGCGTTCTGGCATCACCCCCCTGGTGTGCATCTGTTTGTCCATTTTTATAAATAAAGTCTATGGAAGGAGAATATCTCCATTCAACTTTGCTGCTTCTGTGGTAGCTGGCATGTGTTACAGTGGAAAATGGTGAAAAAGTGGGCAAGTCCATTTTGTTGTAATCTGATAATTGGAAAAGTGAATACCATAGACTGGACAGTATTGAGTTACAGCTTACTGGTAGTTCTATGCTCATTTAATTCTACTCTCCTTTACTTAACTGTAAATAACTAAGGCTAGGGAAGTTAACTAAGAATTCATAGTTGTGACTAAAACCATTGTTGTTACCCAGTATTCTTTAAATCTATAAAGTGTGCATGTACTCAGTAAATTGCTACAAGTGTTAGTTATATGTCAGTGTCCAAAATTGTGAGATCAACATATTATAGTTTTGTTATGTTTTAATTTATCATATGATAATGCTTAAGACTCCTTGGAAATTGGAGAACGACATGAAGCAAAAACTGGAACTGTATAAAGGCCAGAAAAGTAACATAATTAATAAATACTAATTCTAAAGTACATGGAACTATTTCATTGAAGAACCAGAACCAAGATTATTAATTTCTGTTTGTAAGAATCATTAAAATACATTTTTTATGTCTCAGTTTTGCCTCTTTAAAGATTTGTTTTCTGGCAAGGAAAGAGAGTTAAACCAAGAGGATGCCACATTAAGGACCACTATTTCCCTAAAAGACATCCGCTAACCTGTATATCCACACTTTCTGATCTAGTTAGTTCTACTTCTCATAAGTCTCAGACGTTCTAATTAGGCCACTGATTTGCTTTCTCAATTTTCAGTCCTCTTACTGTGATCATTAGTCCATGTCTTAGTTACTTTCTCATTGCTGAGACAGAATACCTGATACTCATGACTGCATGGAAGACACATTTATTTTGGCTCCCAGTTTGTAGAGGTTTCAGCCCATAGTCAGCAGGTTCCAAGGCAGGGCAGCGTGGCAGAGGGGCATGGCAGAGGAGAACCAGCTCATGGCGTGGCAGCCAGAAGCAGAGAGACAGATGAAGGGAGGAGTGAGGGAAGATAACGCCCTTCCAAACCACACGTCCAGTGACCCGCGTCCTCTCATCAGGCTTCATCTCTCAAATCACCTTTAGCTGTAAACTCATCAGGGCACTAATCCACTGATGAGTATCATGCCCCGGGATCCAGTCACCTCCCCAAAGAGAGGCTTTGGGGAAACATCTGGCTATAAACCATAATAGTCCATACTTTATAGACCTTTCCGTCCACATTGGCTCTACACTCCTCATCTGTGGACAGGAAATCCGGATTGGTTGTGGCCAGATTGCCCAGGCTTTTCAGGCTTATCTTCCTGATAAAATAAATTTGTGATCCTTTTATCAGCCTAAATTTTTTATTTGTTCACATCATAGCTCTGAGACATTACTATACTTTGTGCATTTTTAAAAAGAATACTGGTTCTGCTTCTTTTTGCCTTTTTGAAACTGAAGTATAAAAAGTAGCATATTATGATTTGGAAGAATATTGCCAGTCTCAGTAGTCATTTTGAATTTCTGGACACGGTAGCTATCTAAACTATTTGGATCAGAACTGTCAGTGCTGTGTGTTGGTGATTTGTTTGTAGAAGTAACAACAGGCATTCGGCCATGTCTAGATAGCATCTTGTGTCTTGGTGTCAAGCACTGTGTTACGTCTAAATGATGGAAAG